AATGTGAAATGTGACTATCCAGTTGTTACTATCTAGTAGGTCCCCCAGGCAGGAAGGCTATTGTAAGCAGAATAATCCCCCAAATTTACAGCTGCTAGAACCCAAAATCTGTCATCCTTGCCGCCCTTCCTTTTTCTTACTTAACCACAACCCCATGTTCAGACCTTCTTATCATCTTGGTTCCTTCCATTTCATTCTACCTTCTTGACTCCACCCTGGTCCAATCTTGTCCCGTCCTTTCTGGATAACTCTATGGCTTCTTCACTGGTCTTCTGCTTAAAATCTTAAAATCCATTCTCCATGTTGCAACCAAAGTCATTTTTTAGAATACTAATCTGACCATGTCCCTCCCCATGGATGCAAGGCCAGACATGATCTGATTCATCTCAGCTCACCATGATCTTTTCTTCTTCTTCCATCACTAGGCTTCACACGCACTAGCTTCTATTCTGTTCAACTGGGCCTCTTCTCACCTAAAGACTTTTGCACTTGCTTTTCCTCCACCTGGAATGCTCTTTCCCCAGATTTTCAGTCAGGTAATTCCTCTTCATTCCGCCCCCCCGCCCCCAACCCAAGGACCTCACTTTGCAAAAGCCAGTCTGAGTCTTTCCTCACTTTCATCTTATGACCGTGCTTTCTTCATCTGTGAACAGTTAGACTTGACAAACTGTCACTGGGGGGGAACTTGGCTTTGAAGGCCTGGGCTTTCTGTTCCCAGGACAAAAGGCATGTAAGTAACAGAAGGAAGAAAAAGGGGAGCCCTTCAGTCCTTGCATCTTGTTTGTGCCAAGAATGTTTCCATGCATTCTGCGCTATAATTTCCATGTTGGAGAGTACAGGAAGCCCACCTCTCATTCTATTTTAGATGGCATCACTGTTACTCATTTTGAGATTCTCATAGTGATGAGGGTCACCTCAAGGGAAAGAAGCAACTGGGTCCACTGTACTGGATGAATTTCCTTGTCCCACTTAGCATGGAGGAGGTTTGAAAATATTTTCAGAATTTTGAAATGGCTCAACAGTTAAAAGGAAGAAACTCCCCTACATATCTGACAGTTGGGAAACCAGTGTGGCTAACATTTTATATCATCCTATGTTCTTTGAGTAGAAAATAGAGACTTTGCTGAACCTCTCTTTTAAAAATAATTCATCTGAAAAGTCTAAATGATTGCCATTTTTATTTTATGAGTTTTGGAGGCCTTGTCTCCATTATGAGGGAAAAACTGTTCTGTCCTCCAAAGAGGTGGCTTTCAGTGAAAATGGCATTATACAGTTTTGATATATAGTGGCCCAACATTTAGGGACCCTCAATCCTAGAAATCATTCCTTCTTTTTATAAATCAGCTTTATATCTCAATGATAATACCTGTGTAAGACCTGGAAAGAAAACTTTAAAAGGGCTCATCATGTAAAACTTATCAAAATAATTCTATTTGCAGAAAAGTTGCAAAAATATACAAAGAATTCCCATGTGCCTTGTTTTATCATTGCCTATGTATTGCTACAGAAACACATTTTTTTTTCTTTTTTAAAAAATGTTTTATTTATTTATTTTTCAAGGGAAGGGAAGGGAAGGGAAGGGAAGGGAAGGGAAGGGAAGGGAAGGGAAGGGGAGTGAGAGAAACATCAATGTGTGGTTGCCTCTCTCTTGCTCCCAGCTGGGGACCTAGCCCGCAACCCAAGCATGTGCCTTGACTGGGAATCGAACTAGCAACCCTTTGGTTCACAGGCCTGTGCTCAATCCACTTAGCCACACCAACCAGGGAGCATATTTTCTCTAAACCATATGAGAGTAAATTACAGACACAATGCCACTTTATTCCTAAACACTTCAGTGTGTGTTTTCTTCTATAAGGGTAGTAGGATTATTTTTAAAAATCAGGAAATTAACACAGTTCAATTTATTATCTGAACTAAAGATCATATTCAAATTTTGCCAATCGTCCCACTAATGTCCTTTATAATTAAAGAAATATATTTTTTCTGGTCCAGATCCATTAGGATAACACATGAAATCTGTCATGTTAAATTTGTCAAGTCTCTCTAGTCTCCCTTAATCTGGAAGTGTTCCTCTCTTTGTCTTTCATGACCTGAGGAAACATCTTTTGACTATCTGAATTTTTTCACCCACTAGTTTAGAAAAAAGGAAATTTATTTATTACACTATGGTCCCAAGAGAGAAATACATTACCTCTCAGTTTTGACCACATTTCCTAAAACAAAGATTAAGAACAAATGACCCATTTTCAATGAACCTCTCCTTGATCAGTATTATTCTACCATTTCCATTTATTATTATTATTTTTTTTTTTTACAGCAGCTCTCTCTATGGAGCACATGAGCACCTTTCCCCATCCCCTTTCATCAGACACATTTTCCTTGCTTCTCTATTTCTCCTAAGATTTAAGATCCCTTCTTTTGCCTCTGTAACTTGTTTCCTGAGCCCATTTCTTCTACAGCTCACTTCTGCTACCTCTTTGACTATCTAAATAAACTTTTTCTTATAGCTTGAAAAAATAAAATATATTTATTTACAGCACAAATTACCGTATTTTTCAGATTAAAAGACTCACTTCCCCCCCAAATCTGGGAGGAAAATGGGGGTGCATCATATAGTCCAAATGTAGCTTATCTGGATAGTAAATGTAGTTTATATTTACATTGGTGAAATATTATGTTATTTATGTTATTAAATATTTTACCATACTTTTTGCTTCAAAAACTTTTTTCTTATTTTCCTCCTCTAAAACCTAGATGTGTCTTATAGTCCAGTGCAACTTATAGTCCTAAAAATACAGTACCACACAGATTTATTTGTTTGTATGTTTGTCGTCTGTCTGCCTGACTAGGCTGTAAACTCCATGGCAATAGAGACTTCTGTCTTAATTCCTCAAGAACAAGAGCCCATCATAGCCTGGCACTTACTAGCTGGTCAATGAATATTTGTTGAATAAATAAATAATAAATAAGTCAGAAATGTCTCTTAGACTTGTAGCTTAGACCAACTTAAAAGCACTGAGATATGGAGTGGGGAGAGAGATAATTCTTCTGGGACAGTGATGTCCCCGTGAGGTTGGGATTGGGCTCTGAGCAATAATTGCAGAGAACTTCGAATTTTTCAGGGATCCCCTGACAAGGTTAGTGAAGTTGCCGATAGTAAGAAGTTCTTGGACTGCATCTGGGCAAAGTCAGGGGTCACTGGACAGGGACTAGGACTGAGGCATGTCTTCCCTAGCACAATCTGGAATGTGTGGGTTTTTTTTTTTTAAGATTTTATTTATTTTTAGAGAGAGGGGAAGGGAAGGAGAAAGAGAGGGAGAGAAACATCAATGTGTGGTTGCCTCTCATGCATCCCCTACTGCAGACCTGGCCCACCACTCAGGCATGTGCCCTGACTGGGAAGTGAACCAGCCACCCTTTGGTTCACGAGCTGGCACTCAGTCCACTGAGCCACACCAGCCAGGGTGGAATGTGTGGGTCCTTGACTTCATGCAAGAAAGATTTCACAACATGAGTCCATGTGATTTTGAGAGTACATTTATTAAAGCTGGGGACAGTGAAACAAAGGAAAGGATTAAGATAGAAGAGGTAAGGTTACTGCAACAGGAGTGACCTATGCTGAGTTGTGTGGACTCAGGAAAGGAAGTTGCAGAGGCAAAAGTAGAGTCCTTAGAAATAGGTTAGCCCTGGATGAGCTGTCGCTGCCTGCTGCTCCCCTGGTTGCAAGTCTAGTGGGGTCCCTTAGAGTTTGGGGAGGGGGGGAGTACACACCTGAGGGAGAAAGACTGAGAGTGATGTGGGTTCAGAGTTTTAGCAGGGGACATCTCAATAGGATATTAGATAGCTTTCCAGGTGTGTTCTTTAATATGCTGATGCATCAAAATGAGGTTATAGGGAAGTTTAGGATCATTCTCTGGTCAGCCACACTGCTTTACTTTTATCTTGGATTTGTCTGGCTCTAATTGGTCATTTTTGTTATTTCCCTAAATTCTTCCATCCTGGGGTTTGGCTAGCACTAATGACATCAACTGGGTCTCTGTCCTCTATCTCCCAGAACTGGGTGATTCAAGCTACTCACTTTCCAGTTGAGGAGGAGAGGTACAAACTATATGCCTCTAAGTGTCCTTGGTTAGGGAAGATAAAATCTTGCAATTTATTAGCAATCTGTTAATTGCTCGGCCTTGTTTAACTATTTTGTCTCCGTTTCCTTCATTCCACTTGCCAGGAAATTTTCCTAACTTCTTAGTATCCTGCCTCATCCACACCTCAAAGAGCTAAAGAAATTGGAGAAGAGTCTAGGTAGTCACCTACTCCTTGCCTCCCAGGGGCGCTGGGTACTATTTCCTTACTCCACTCCTCGTCCCTCTTTTCTAGGTGGCGTCTACTTTCTTCCCAAAATACATCTCTCTTCCACATTGTAGTTCAAGACAGCTGGCCATTTTCTGCCCTCTGCAAATCCCTCCCCAAACTGAGCAAAGTTATCGTGGGAGTCGGGGTGGGGGGTGGGGGGGGGGACTAGAATCAGGAAAGTTCAAGTCTGGGGTCCTCGGACAACCAGAGGCTCCGCGACAATAAGCGACAGCCGGACCATGTAGGGGTATCCACCTCTCCATGTTGGGTCCCCTTCCTCTCGTCTGGCCCAGGGCAGTGGGAAGTTAGAGGGATGCAGAGGAGTGAAGGGGAGAGAGTGTCCATGCCTGGGCATGGCGTCGCCCTAAGTCCAGCGAGGCGATGACAGAGCAACTCTTACGCGGAGAGTCATCCTGGGCAACATAGCGGGAGTTGCGGATAGAGGGTCGGCTGCTCCCGGCGCGGGCAACGGAGAGAATGGGATGTACCCGGCTAGGGCAGAGCGGGTTTCCGTTCGCCGGACCCGCGTGATTTAGACTCGGCGGTGCCCGGCCGCGCCACACCGCACAGTCACAGACGGCTCGGCTGAGCGCGAAGAGCAGGGTCGCGGTGGACCACTTGCCGGGGCCCAACCCCCGCCCACACACGGAGCCCCGATTTGTGCTCTCCAGGTGGTTCGAAAATGTACTTGTCTCGCGAGATTTTCCAAGATTGTTCCCAGGGCGCCCTCTTATGCGGTTGCTAAGGCAACTGGACCTTGCCTGCACCGGCGGGAAAGAGGCGGATGGATTTTTGCCTGCTTTCCTGGGGGACTTCAGAAGTGGCCATCCCTGACCTTCTAGCCCTAGAAACTACGGCCTCTGCTCCAGGCGGTGTCCCTGCCTCTAGGGGCCATGGGCCGGATTTCAGGACTGGTGCCCTCTCGTTTCCTGACGCTCTTGGCTCATCTAGTGGTCGTCATCACCTTATTCTGGTCCCGGGTAAGACCAACGACCACCTTCCTCCCGTCCGCATTCCCACTTTGGGGTGTTCCCAGGCCAACCCCCCTAATTCCCCAGGACCTGACCCAGTCGGGTCCTCCCATCCCCCATCTCCCTCCCCTCTTTCACTTTTCTTTCTTTCTGTCTGCCCGGCTTGCTTTCCAGGACAGCAACATCCAGGCCTGCCTGCCTCTCACGTTCACCCCCGAGGAGTATGAGAAGCAGGACATTCAGTGAGCACTTGGGGCGGGGTGGTCAGAATTAAGTAGTAGTGGGAGCGGAAGGCTCTTAGAAGTCCAGAAGGCCTGAACCAATTCCCCTCCTTTCTGCAGGCTGGTGGCAGCGCTCTCTGTCACCCTGGGCCTCTTTGCAGTGGAGCTGACCGGTTTCTTCTCCGGAGTTTCCATGTTCAACAGTACCCAGAGCCTCTTCTGTATCCTTTCTGTCTGCGCACCTTTCCCATAAGGCCCATTTCCGTTACGACTCCCTTCAGACACTTTGGGAGGGACACAGTAGTGACTGCCCTTGAAGGCAAACAGTCTTTGCTTCATTTGAAAGATCATAGGCAATGCAGATTTAATACAATCTAAGATCATTTGTTAAACCCCTGCTATGCACTAAGGATCCCCAATGGGATAAAACACAGCGTTTTACCTTGAAAAGGAAGCAGACCCTGTAATTCAGTGTGATAAGCACTGTACTATAGGAGTGTGTGAAGATATAAAGCACTATGGGAACTCAGAAGACAGAGGACGTGAGGAAGATGGATCAGGGAAGACTCTTGAGAATTGAATTGTGGACCAAGAGCACCAGGGTGCTGGAGGGTGACTCCAACAGAATGTTTCAAGTCACTGTGAGCATTCTTGTGTGGCCTGGGGTAGATGGGGAGCCTATTCCTACCTCATCTGAAGGGTTCAGGCTGGCCCCTCGATATGGGATGGGTATAGCCTGGGGCCCAGCTGTGCAGGCTCAGTCAGCTCTGGCCTGTACTCACAAGGCTATCCCAAAACTCGTAAGACAGAGCTGCTGGCTCTGGCCTTTGCAGTTGTCAAGGGAGCAAGAAGTGAACCTGAGTGCAGATGCCAGCCCCACCATTGGCTTTTTCTGGCACATCACTACCTATCCATCTTGAGGCTTTCCTTGACTCCGGTATGTTCCCAAGCCATCGGGGCTCACTGTAGTGCATCTGTGGCCCTTTCCTTTTTCATATTTGAACGTTGGGAGTGCACCACGTACTGGTACATTTTTGTCTTCTGCAGGTACAGTAATATCAAATGTTTGGGGATGGGGGAGGAAGGTTTACCCTAAATCTGAAGGTTTCCCCCACCCCAGTAAAGCTCCTGAAGTCTTTTGAAATCCTGCCCCACATTTACTTTGGGAGTGGGTCTCTAGTTGGGGGATTTGGGTGTTAGGGCCTTTTGGAAGAGGCCCTAAACTCACTACCTGCCTTCCACAGTGCCCTCCCAGCTGTCACTGAAGTGGCATTATTCATCAGCGTCTTTGGGCTGAAAAAGAAACCTTTCTGATTACTTTCATGGGAACACAGGAAGAATAGAGGAGCAAAGAATAGAGGAGCAAGGGACCATTCACCTTTCCTGGAAGGAGGAAGCACCTCTAAAACTGCATTTGGTGGAGGATTGTAGTGTTAATTATTTGTCAAGTCTGGGATTATCCGCGTTTTATTTAGTGCTTTGTAATGAAATAAATTTTAGAGTAACATCAAAACTTATAAGAAGTTAAGGGGAGAATTGGGGTAGTCAAATTACTAGAGAAACAGAAGGCTGTTTTCCAGCCTTGCAGACTATAATATATATCGCTTTTATTTTGGTTATTACGGTAAAAGTCTGGCGGAAGGGAGTGGGCGGAGATATGTAAATGACGCTAACGGTTAGGGCTGCTTGCTCGTGAATGGAGCATTCTGGGAGGAATTATTTTATCCTTTTGCAGCTAAATGGGGAAGAAAAACAAATCTGTTTTTGAAAGATCTGCAAATAAATGCAGCAACAGAAAATGAAGAATCTGATTTTAGATAGCTCAGGCTACGCGTTATTTACTCACCCTATTTTACAGCGGAATGCTTTTCAGGGAGCCCGGATTGTTCCATATTAAAAAGTATCGTCAGGTAGGATAATCCTTACCTGTTTCTCCTTTTTGGAGAACAGATTTGAATATGATGATTGGAGTTTGTATGATTCGTGATTAACGACTCTGCGTAATCAGAGCTCGCAACACTCTGATTGCTCCTATCTGATTCTTCCTGACGATCACCTAACTTTTTTTCTTTTACAATAATGAAAATATTGCACTAGTAGTTCGCTTTATTCAGCTTTATGTGGAGGTAGGTTTAGTTCAGAACAAATCCTTTTTAATTTATTAGTGTGAGTGGGTTTCTTATGGAGCTGCTTTGATTTGTAGACAATGTCAGGGCTTTTTTTTCTGAATTGCTAGTGAGTTCTAAATGTTCATGTGTATATGCTTTTTAACTTTGAAAGCTGGGGGAGTCAAAGTTACTTTATGTACCTTTGGTTGTTCTTGGTGTCACAGTCTATTGTGAAGTCTATCTCAATATGGCAAGAAGGACACTCCTGTTCCAGGGATGGGGAGGGTCCATGCTGGTTGGATCTCCTACCCAGAAGCTTGGCAAACCAGTTGTTCACAGGGGAACAACCTCCCCACCTCTGCCTGCTAACACATGACAATAACATGCCTAAAAGTTATTAAAACACATACACACTATTCTGTTAAGTATTATATATAAAACTACACAAGTCTCAAGTTCTAACTTGTCACAGGATGGATGTTCTCAAGAGTCATGTTTCCTGGTGTAGTATATATTGGGAAGGGAGAACCCAGTCCATTCTAAATCAGCTAAAGGCATCCAAGGAGATGCTTTCAGGTGTTGCCTCTCAGGTGATGCCTGACACATAAAACCTTTCCCTAACCATATACTTCTCCTGGCAGCCCTTCATCCTGAGCATTCATTCTATAAATACTTACTGAGCACTTACTATGTACAAGGCACTGTGGTAGTTACTAAGGGAACAGATATGAATGTGACCCATACTCAGCCTCGGCCACCATAGAAACAGTTCCCGATACTTCCAGAGTAATTTAATAGCAACTTGTGATAAGTGCTACAAAGGAGAATTACACATGCTATGGAGTAGTGATTAATTTGTCCAAGGTAGGAAAAGTGTTGCTTCTATAGGAGCAATTAGAGTGAGGTCCTGAAGTGTGGCCAGAGCAGAGGTAGGGGAGCAGATTGTGAGGAAAGGCCAGGGAGGTGGACATTGCTGGCAGTGGTTAGAGGCTTGACCAGGAAAGTCATATCCCACTCCAGTCTGGCTTTCACCCCCACCCAGGGGTGTGTTCTAGTGATTTGTAAAAGCTAACTTTTTGTTTTACAGAAACTTTGTAAACCAGTTGTTAAATGCAACTATAAAAATTATGTAAATTTACAATTAAATAAATTATTTTTAAAAAACGATAATAAATACTCAAAATTCATTACTTCCTGTTAATTGTACATCTTACTATTATATGCTCTTAAGGTTATTTAAATTTATTGTATCTGTATGGTAGAGATACTATAGAATGTTATACAACTGTGTATCTCTTCTGCACTCAGACATTTAGTTGATAGTTTGAAATTGGACTTGGTGGCAGTATTTTACACCATAGAAATGGGCAAACAACATATATTTTGTTGATTGTGTAGATTTAAGAAGGTGATGGAGAAAATGTTAATAATGCAGATTCTGTTTAGAAGTTTCATGTCTGTAACTGTTGCATTGTAAATAACACAAAAAATGGAGGAAATATTTTCCTTGGATTTGTAAACTATTCCCAGATTTTTCCAGTGTTTTCTCACATTCAGATTGAGTTTATGCATTTTGGACAAGAGTACCAAAGTCACTCAATCCATTGAGGAACCAGAGGTTTCAACATATCTTCATTGTTTCACTGTTTGTCTTATTCAAAAATGTGAATAAACATATCTACCAATATTCACTTTGGAACTACAACCTGTAATTAGCATACAACTACAAGAGTGAAATTGATTATTTAAAAATATGATATGTTTTATTATTTGTATATTCTGTGTTACATATCTTTTATATTAGTAAAATTTACAATAAACTTAAGTATGTACATAAATGGATACTTTTTTGAAGAGTTGGTCATTAAACATTTTTCACACTCCTGCCCCTACCAGCCTAAGAAACTGTTCATCATCAGTGGCTCCCTTGTTCCCAAAACCAGAGGTCACTTCTCAGATTTTAGCTTGGTCTCCTTTTGTCATATAATATTGACCACTGTTATCTTTTAAAAATGTTTTCTCTGTTGGCTTCTGAGAACTGGTTCCCCTAGTTTATCTCCCGCTATTCTGGCTGCTGCTTCTCAGACTCATCCAATGAATACTGAGGGAGGACCCACAGTGTGCCAGTCACTGGGGACATACTGCTGGGTTGTCTCCTTTGCTTGCCCCTTAAATGTTGGTGGTCACTACTTCTTGGGTGACTTCATCTACCTCTTGTCTTCAAACACCAATCAGATGCTGCTGGTTTCCAAGTCCTGGCTCTCTTATGTGAACTCTAGCCCAGGGCAAAGGCTATGGGAGCAAGCTGTGGAGCCAATCCTAGGTTCACAGTGCCCCATCTTCCCTTCTTGGCTGTGTGATCAGCAACACACTTAACCCTTCTGTGTCTCAATTCTTGCAACCACACTCCAGAAGTAGCTACTACACGCACTTCAACTATTTGCTTCTTAGTCAACACCAAAGGCTTTGCCAATTAGCATCAGAAATAGGTTTCCATTTCATTGTGAAATTAGTGGCTTGTTAATCAGCATAAGCCAGTCACAAAAAGACAAATACTACTTGGTTGCACTTACATGTGGTACCAAAGGTAATCAAACTCATAGAGACATAAAGTAGGATGGTGGTTGCCAGGGGCTGGGGGAAGGAGGGGATGGAGAGACATTGTTTAAAGGGTAGCAAGTTTCAGTTTTGCAAGATGAAAAGAGTTCTGGAGATTGGTTGCCCAATAATGTGAATGTACTAAATGCTACTGCACTGTATACTTATGGTAAATGTCATTATGTATTTTTTACTTTATTTTTACAAATAGATAATTAAAAATAAAAATATCAGTGGCAAAAAGTGGGATTAATCAATAAAAGAACTGAGTAACCATCTACAGGAAAATATGGTGTACTGGTAATACTTCACAGAAATATTAGATGGATCACAGATTACAATATAAAAAATAAAACCATAAACTACAAGAAATCTTAAAGTTCTTAGCCTTTTATTTTGAATAACTTTAGAACTACACAAAAACTGCAAAAATGGTACAAAGTTCCGGTGTACCCTTCACCCAGCTCTCCAAACGTTAACATCTTGCATAGTCATGATATAATTATTGAAATCAGGAAGTCAGCATTGATACAATACTATTAACTAATCTCCAGGTCTTATTTAAATTTTGCCAGTTTTCCAACTAATGCCCTCTTTGTCATTCAGGACCAGACCTACAGTTTCACACTGGATTTAGTTGCATGTCTCCTTAGCCTTTTCCAGTCTGAGACAGTTCCTCAGTCTTTTTTTTTTCCTTTGACACACTTGACGAAGGCTGGTGAGTTATTTTGCAGAATGTCCCTCTGTCTGGATTTGTCCATTGCTTTCTCATGCTTAGACTGAGGTTATATATTTTGGTCAAGAATACCACAGAAGTAGTTTGGAATATGGGAGACATTTCTAAGTATGATAACAAAACACAGAAGTCAAAAAAGAAGACATACATTTAAATATATATTAAAATGTTAAAAATATACATGGAAAAAGTTAAAAGATACATTACAACCTAGTGAAACTTTCATATTACAGAGAAAGGGCTAATTTTGATACATAAATATCTTCTACATATCTATAAACCACCCAATAAAAAATATAAAAAATATGTATGGCCATTTCACAGAAAAGGAAACAAAGAACTCTCAAATATATGGAAAGATGCCTAAACTCGTTCACCATAAGAAAAATACAAAACATGTTTAACTTACATTTGTAATGACCAAAATGTTTCGTGAAAAGTTGGAAAGGGTATGGATCTAAGTAAACAGGCATCACCTGTTTGCTGGTGGGAGTAAGATTTCATAACATCCACAAAAAGTGATTTGGCGATATCCATCGAAATCAATAAAAATCACAAATACCCATGCCTTTTGACCTAGCGTTTTTATTTCTAGGAATTAGCCCTACACATTTGCATATAGGTAAAATGGGAATGTGTAGATTAGTTTTTGTAGCTTTGCTTGTATTGGTGAAAGACTGAAAACAATCTAAATGTCAGCAAGGGATTGGTTAGATTATGTTACAGTATAATACTATGCAGCCAGAAAAAAAAGGCAAACTACACACTTGATGGAATAATCTCCAAGTTACATGACTAAAGTAAGGCACAGAAGAGTTGATAATAGTTTGATTCCCTTTGTGCAGAGAAGTGGAAATTGATATGCACAGAACATCTCTGAAAAGAGCCACAGGGAACTGGGCAGACTGGTTGTGAAGGGGCAGAAGCTGAGTGGCTGGGATACAGGGTCAGAGAGAGACTTTCTCCACATACTCTTATGAACTTTTGGAATTTAAACTACAGACATGAAAGAAAACATACAAACTATGGCATTTAAAAAGCCAGGAGCTACTTCTGTTTGTTTGGAAATGAAGCTAAGCCAGAGGCCAGGCAGAAAAGGAGAAACAGATCCCCACTGACATCACGTGAGCACCAGGCTGTTCCCAGTTATGGTGTGTGAGCCTTCAGAATCCTTTTGGCTTAAATCTGTTTGAGCTGACCATGCAGACACTTAATTTTAAAAAAAATTTTACCTACTTTTAGAGAGAGGAGAAAGGAGGGAGAAAGAGAGGGAGAGAAACATCAGTGTGTGGTTGTCTCTCATGCACTCCCCACTGGGAACCTAGCCCACAACCCAGGCATGTGCCCTAACTGGGAATTGAACCAGGGACACTTTGGTTCACAGGCCAGCACTCAATCCACTGAGCCACACCAGACAGGGCATGAAACTTCATTTCTTTAATATGACCCTTTTTCCTCTCTGTCCTTCCATTGCTTCCCTTAATCATTAGGCCCTTAGAACATCAGATTCTGGTCAGCATCAAACTGTCTAAGAACAAAGCCTCAGGTCTGTTCACCACAGAAACAGAGTTTCCTTCAAGCTAAGGATAACATCTTGATTTCAGTTA